AACCAACTAAAAATTATAACTCTTGTAAACATTGCGCAGCAAAAGACATATTAATTGAACAACAAAAAGCAACAATTAGAGCTTTGGAAGAAACCTTAGATTTATACCGAAAAGCAAAAACATAAAAGTCTGTCAACAACAAAGAAAGAGCGATAATGAAATTCATTATCGCTCTTTCTTTTCTGAACACTTATAATTTAGCCTTTCATCTTCACCATGGTAAGAATGGTAGCAATACCTACAAGCGGTTCTTCCGTCTCGTCAAATATCTCTACCAACCATTTTACGATGCCCTTCGGAATATCATTTTCGTCTCTAGTTTCTTGTTGGATTTTTTCTTTGCAAGAGAAGCGAACATATACACTTGTGCCAGGATAAACAGGTTTAGTAAAGCGTAATTCGTCAATACCATAATTGAGCAATACAGGATTGATGTTGTAGCTATCTACAAACAAACCCGCAGCCACACTCATGATAAAATAGCCATGCGCCACTTGGTGGGTAAACATGGTGCCTTCGAAATTGGTATCCTTCATATGGGCATAAAAATGGTCGCCGCTGAGGTCGGCAAATTTGTCGATATCCTCGCTCGTAATGACACACTTATCGGTTAGGATCTGATCGCCGATTTTCAAGTCTTCAAACATCTTTTGGAAAGGATGAATACCATCCACATTGCCTTGAGCACCTTGTTGGTATTGTTGCGAGATAGCCGTAATCATTGATGGAGACCCTTGAATGGCAACGCGCTGCATATAATGCTTGACTCCACGCATACCACCCATTTCTTCGCCACCACCTGCACGACCAGGACCACCATGAACCAACAAAGGCAATGGAGAACCATGTCCGGTACTTTCTTTGGCACATTCATTGTTGAGCACCAATACCCTACCATGATACATTCCTGCCCCAATCACATAATCAGTAGCGATTTTAGGGTCGGCAGTGATGATAGAACTACACAAAGAACCTTTACCCAATTTAGGCAAGGCAATCGCTTCGTCCATATTTTTATAGGGCATCAAAGTAGATACCGGTCCAAAAGCTTCTATCTCGTGGGTAGCTTTAGCATCAAAAGGATGTTCGTTAACCATCAACAAAGGACTCATAAATGAACCTTTGGTAGCATCAGCATCTAAGACCTCTACACTATCTAGCGAGCCATATACCAATTGTGATGAAGCCAATAATTTTTGTACTTGTTCTTTTACTTCTTGCTGTTGGCTAGTTCCTGCTAGCGAACCCATACGCACTTTTTCGTTGAG